CCCAAAATTCAAACACCCAATCCAAAAATGGGTATCTGAGATGAATATACACTTCTCAGATGAAGAAATACAAAAGACAAATATGTGAAAAATGTTCAACATCATTGGTCATTCAAGAAACGCAAATTCAAACAACGCTGAGATTTCATCTTACCCCAGAAAGAATGGCCATTGTCAAGAAGTCACCCAAGTGTTTCCGGCTCCGCCGCTGGAGTGGTAGGGCCTTACGGCAGTCCAGTCCGAAACAGCTGGCAGGGCGCAGGACGCAAGTGCAGACCACCAGGCGTGGAGCCGACCTGCGCCATGCGCAGAGAGCAGGAGGAGGAGCGTTTCCGCGGCGTGTTGTTGGCCATGGCACACCATCGCGAAGGCGGCGTGCAGAGGCTTGTGAACACTTTCTTCAGCTTCCTTCGACGCAAGACAGACTTTTTCGGTGGAGGAGAAGAGGGGATGGCAGAGCTCATCACACAGACCTTTAACCACTGCAACCCAGAAGGCCGGCCGGGAGAAACTCGCTGGGCAGGAGACTGAGCGGAAGGAAAAGGCAGAGCGGGCAGCCAGGCTGGCCAAAGAAGCCAAGGCAGTGAACTCCGGGCTGTGGATCCAGGAGCTGACTGATGAAGGGGCAGAGAGGCTCCAGTTGGAGATTGACAAGAAAAAAGATGCGGAGAATCATGAGGCCCAGCTTAAAGAATGGCAGCCTTGGCACTCCAAGGAAGCAGAAGGTGGAGGAGGATGAAGAGGAGGAGGATGAGAAGGACAAAGGGAAACTGAAGCCCACCTTAGGAAATGGGGCTGACCTGCCCCACTGCCATTAGACACAGACCCTGTCGGAGCTGGATCTGGCAGTGACCTTCCATGTCAACTTCCAGCTGAAGGGCAAGGATGTGGTCAGGTGGACATCCAGCGACGGCACCTCCGGGTGGCACTCAAGGGGCAGCCAGCGGTCACTGATGGGGAGTTGTACAATGAGGTGAAGGTAGAGGAGAGCTCCTGGCTCATTGAGGACAAGGTGGTGACTGCATTTGGAGAAGATCAATAAGATGGACTGGTGGAGTCGCTTGGTGTCCAGTGACCCAGAGATCAATACCAAGAAGATTAACCCTGAGAACTCTAAGCTATCAGATCTGGACAATGAGACACGGAGCATGGTAGAGAAAATGATGTATTACCAGAGGCAGAAGTCCCTGGGGCTGCCCACTTCAGATGGGCAGAAGAAACAGGAGATCCTGAAAAACTCCATTGATCAGCATCCAGAGATGGACTTCTCCAAGACCAAATTCAACTAGTTCTGTGTTTGACTCCCTGAACTCTTGGGGCTGAGCCCCCAGCCATCCACCTTCCTTTCCCACCATTCCCTGGGACTTGGGGAGCCTGGGGCTGGGGCAAGCCTGGGGCTGGCCCAGGTACATGGGTTCCAGGACATAATGGGAGAAGGGCTGGGGCCTGGAGGCCTTGTCCTCCCTGGTAGACCAATTGTTACACATTGAAGATATTTATCCAGAAAAAAAAAAAGAAGTCAGCCAATTACAAATGCTGGAGGGGTTGTGGGGGAAAAGGAGCCCTTCTCCACTATTGGTGGGAGTGTAGACTGGTACAACCATTATGGAAATCAGTGTGGAGATTCTTCCAAAAAACTAGAATTGGAAATCCTATTCAACCTACCTATTCCCCCTTTCCAAATGACCTGAATACATCATACCACAGAAATATATGTGTGCCCATGTTTACAGCAGTGCAATTTGTCATGGTTAAATCTTGGAAACAACCTAAATGCCCATCAACTGAATAATGGATTTAAAAGATGTAGTATTTTTCCATAATGGAGTATTACTCAGCTATTAAAAAAAGATAAACCTGAGGCTTTTATACTAGTAAAATAGTACACAGCCTGGTGCGGTTGCACATGCCAGTAATCCCAGCATTAAGGAGACTGAGGCGGGAAAAGCAGTGGGGGCTACAAAGTGAGTTCAAAGCCAGCCTGAACTGCAGAGCATGACCTTGTCTGAAAAAAGACAAAAAATTAATAATAATATGGAGTAAGAGGTAGATCTATCCTCTCAGTCCTCTGCAAGAAAATTAAGCATAGGGCTAGGATATATAGCTCAATGAAACAGTGTCTGCCTGGCAAGTGCAAGGTCTTGAATTTGATTCCTGGTACCCTTCCCAAAAAAGAAAATTAAGCGTAATCCATATATCCTTCTAAGGCAAATCCAGACAGATAAATTGCTCTTGATTATATCAAATTGGGCCACTCTGCATACACAATTCTGTACTAAGGGCTTCTTTCAGTTAATGATGCATTTTGGGTAAATTTCAAAAATATACAGTTAGACCATTGTTTACTGGCTTTACAGTGTTCTGTGTGCATATATTGCCTCCATTGATCTCCACTGAGTAGTGTCATATTTATTAGCATTTAATGCATTTCTAATCATTTGTTCTTGTAAACAGCGGTGAAATGAATAGCTTTGTCCACGTGTGTGCTTATGTGCACTA